CTCCAACTGTGCAGAAGATATCAAAGGTAAAACTTATTTATGGGTGGATCACAATTTTATCTCTCAAGAATGGGTTTCCAATTTATTTATCTAATTCAGAGATTTGAACATTCACAAATAAATAATATATATACTTTTTCTATATTTTCTGCACAATTCACAGAATTAAAAGTTAAAGATACCTGGCTTGGTATAACATGGTGAGTTCTAAAAGGTCTCACAACAATGTCATTCCACAATTCATATGTTTCACCTGAAGTCAAGTTGGCAATATTCATTATAAAGATTATAAATGTCAAAGAGTTACAGAACTTTCTAACCAAAGCTACACACCAACATCTAGTGCTACCAAATCAAGGTTTAGTTCCACTTGGCCCATTGCCCTATTAATTTCAAACAGCTTCTCAACATCTTCTTTGATTGATGGTGGTACAAACACTGTTGGAGGCTTTCAGTTGTATAAACCATGACTGGCTACATACATGGGCAGCCCACCCTGATTATGTTAACACAAGGTGAAGGTATGATAAAAATCCAGAATTACATGAAGCAAATTTCTCATGGATGAGAAATTCAAAGTTGCTAGAATGCATAAAATAACTAAAAGACTAGAGAAAATTTCAAATAAAATGAAGTTTAGGGTAGACAACAACCAAATAAAACTCCAAAAGCATTAGACAAGAACTATCAAGAGATGTGGTTTTATTTGAAGTAAACACAACTTGGTTTGATTCATGGAACAAATAACTACTCTCATCTCAACCTAGAACGTGGTTCCTGATGGAGAAATCCTAACAAACTACACTTATATTTGAATGCCAGTAACCTGACTGCCTCCTATCTGAACTCAGTTGTTACATCCCAGACCTGCAATCTTAGTCAAAAAGGTCAAGTTTGAGCTGTAACTTTTAGATTAACTCCATTTCTAAATAGTTGCAGACATGCTTCTTAGAGAAAAGATAGTTTTAGGTCTCCTTTAGGAAGCTTTTGAAAATCCAGTTCATAATAAATAAGCCTTAAATTTCTGTAAAAGGCAATCTTTAAATACAAAAATGGTTCAAGGACAACTTTTAATAATCAGATAACCAAAGCTTTAAAGAACAGATAATCACCCCTGTAGCAAACTAAGGAGCTTAGGTTCCAATTTAAAAAAAACACATACTTTGATTGAATATTTACACAAGTCCTTGGATAGTCCGTGTGTACACTTATTTATACAGCAAACTCTATCATAATATACCAGATTAAGAATCAGCTCTTAAGCTTACTTGATGGCCCGTTTGGTAAACAAAACATATTCTAATAATGTGAAGTTCTTTTACAAAACATTGAGCCAGGAGATACAAGTTACCTTAACAAGCTTGAAAAGCTTGTTCGCTACCAGCAACCATAGGAAACTCTTAGTCTCCCAAAAATTGTTGATCTCTTCACCAGCTAACCTAAAACAGGGTGAACAATACACCATAAGCTATGAAGCCCAATAAGCATAGGTTATAACTGAATGGCCATAACTAAGACCTTAATTTAACTTAATAAGTTCCATCAATTAATTTACATTGTTCTTCCATATAAAACCTATGTTATGATACAAGAATTAGGCATAGACAAATCATCATCTCAAAAATAATCCACATTCTCCAAATTAGAACTATCTAATTGAGAACACTAAGTTCAATCCAAGCACATGCTTGGTCACCATTCCGGAACAAATAAGAAAATACATTCCTTTACCTCAAGAAGCACAGAATCAGTTCCATGAAACACTGCTCATCAATACTGAACAGTTTTATCAATGCCATAAATAAACATGACATAAATGCTTAGCAAAGCAGCCTTATGCTTGTTCAACATGTAAATGACTGCAAGTTCTTATCTATGATTTTCCTTGTGGCTGTACATCCCACCATACAAATGGTCCAGCCAATGGTTCTTCATACTGTGCAGTGGATCTAGATATCTTTCTTTCCATACTCCAGGTTCTTTAAGAGTTCTTACTTAGCTTAGTAGCTCAGGCATCATTTTAGATATCTTCTCTCTTTACTCCAGTTTCTTTAGGAGTTCTCACCTAGCTTGGTTCCACGTAACTTTAGGAGCATCATCATTCTTTACCCCAAGTAACTTTAGGAGTATCTTACCCAGCCTAACAGTTTAGGTATCAATAGATTCATATTCATATTGATGCAATCTTTTCGTGTAAGTGCATGTACTTCATATTCAGTTTAGTCCTCAATGACTCATGTTAGTTTAAACTTATGCATTTTATTACAAATTGCAAATACAAAGCATATCTCAACATGTCCTATGTCATTAGGCTCACGGGTTAGTCTTGAACCCAAACACAATTAAATTCGCATACATATTTAGACTCACATAGAACTCCGAAATCAATATCATTAATTCATAGTAATCTGAATACTCACTTCCAGATTTCAAGTACAGAGCTAATTTCACAAGACAGTAAGTCTTAATCATGCTTTAACAAACAGATACCTATTACTAGTTCACTGCTTCCTCATGCATGTAATGAATTCTTCTTTTGATGCTCGGTTCAATGGTTGAATCATCATATTGAACTTATCTTAAGTCCAATTCACTTTAAATCAATTGATTTACCATCTTAACCATCAATTATAGTTACAGAAGCCATAACCTATACATACCTCACAAACCCCAATACCATTCTTGGTAGAATCCCTTGGAGAAATTCTCCCACTGATGTGCAGCTGCTCCTTTGGTTATTCTCCCTTTCTGGTTCGACCCACAAATGCGAGTGTTGAACAAACATTTCTTCATTTCTTCCAATTTTACTGCCGCTGCAAAGTTCTCCAAATCTCCTCTCATTTCTTTCGGTTGGATAGAAAAAAGGAAAGGGAAATTGCTAAGGTTTTAATTCAACCATAACCATGGACTGATTTTTGTTGGTGGACTCTGCCTATGCCACCTCGTGAATCTTCAGGTAGGGTTGAGCAGCGAACAAGTCGCTTATACATATATAAATATAATTGATATTTGACTTTTTAAAATTTTTTTTATATAGGTTTTAGATTTGATTTTTACTTTATTTAGAACATCTATTTTTAGTATTTAATTTAATAAGTATCAGATAATTT